ACCACATGTGATGAGAATGACAATAAAGAAACCTTGACCTTGACACACATAAACACACACAGGTTTGTTTTGCTATTTTTATGGGGACTTTTCATTTACTTCCATCCATTTTTCATTCACTTCTATGTCCTAACCCTGACCTTTACCCACCAACGGCACTTCTTCTTATGGGACCTGAGCGTTGGGCCCCATAAGGAGCAGTTGGTCCTCACAATATAGTATAAGTTGAAAGAAATGGGCCTTACAAAGTAACATAAACACACACACACACACACAACATTGTCCACCTTTGCATTTTGTATGTGTATGATAACACTAAATATAGTTTAGGAGAAAAAGTTCAAATTTATCGGTTTTCATGAATTAAACTAAAGAAACGCATTTCCCCTTAGTTTAAATTATATTTGATTGAGTTGTGTGTGTGTGTGTGTGTGTGTGTGCAGCTTGTTCATTAAAAACTTGTCAGATTTTACAGTAAAGCTGTTTTAATGACTCCATTCTGTTAAAACTCTCAAACGTTTGTTTTCCTTCATAGTTGGGGTCTGATGGTGGTTTGTGAAACCGCACGCAGAGCCACTGAGTTAAGAGCGTGCACGAGACGGCGTGAATGATGAAACTTTCAGCTCTGTTCATCACAGAAACCAGGGACCGCAGACCGGACTCTGAGCAGCCGCCGGCCGTCTGCACACTGGCCGGCTGTGGCATGTGTGTCCTGATAACGTCCCAGCAGACTGGCCTCCCGCCAGTCACGGGCAAACTCAACTCTGCTGTTTGATGTTGAGGGTTGGCTCCAGACAGACCAAGCATTGTGTCCCAAACAATAAACCCCAGACCCACCGGACCATAAACATGTCCCTCTGGAGGCGTTTTCCTCAGTTTCTGTACAGGAGACACCCAAAATCAGGAAATCTGACTTGACTTTTCTAAATTTAGTAGCTTGAAAGCCTCAAATGCTTCTGACTTGGCACCCATTGATGCGTGTCCTTTCTCATTAAGGTACTGAAGTATGTGGACTGCAGGTCAAGACTAAAGTCGGACGCGGAGCTTTTGTAATTTAGGACATTTGTCAAAACTAAAAATGACAAACAAGTCACCTCGCCTCAGTGTATGTACCTTGAATTGTAAATGTCTGCTCCTTCCTTGGAAGTAAAGTCATCTGTATTGTCATGATCAGATTTTTATTAAGACCTAAGCAGTCTGAGGACTCCTCCTCCAGAGCCCTCGTGGTTTCAGATGCAGTTAACTAGAATAAAGACACAAACTGTGATTTCAGGAAGGTGTTTAAGTCTTGATGACAGCTGGTTCAATTCTTTAAATGTTGACAAAAGAATGGTCAGAGCTTCTCTAATCATTCCAGAATACCATCCTCTGTGTGAGTGAAACCAGATTCACTGTTTCAGCAGCGTATTTTAAAAAAGACAGCTCTGTGAATGAGCAGCACATGCCTGTAGAAACTCATTTCACGTTTCATTACAAAACAGATCATATGTTATTTCACTGACGTGGCACACTCAGCACAGCCCACACAAACCACCGTAAGAACACGTAGTTTGAAGTAAAATGTGCTTTTTGTTGAGTATTTTTTGAACGTTGACCTCCATAAATACCACTCCAGTTGACCGTCCAGTTTCTCTTGGATGAAGGAGGAAAATAAAAACGTGCTCAGGGTTTTTCAGTGGTCGCTTCAAACATTTTCACTAGTTTACGTTTAATTATATACGCACCACAAACTTTAAATCTGGTGCCACTTTACAATAAGGCTCTCCTTATAGATGGTTAATAAACAGTTCATAGCTACATTATTAATTCATCTATAAACACTTTATAAATCATTACTGCTTATTATGCATTAATTAAGGGTGACAGACAAAACTGACCAGTTTCTTGCCAAATCTGTTCACCTACATATTTTAAACATTTCAGACTAAGTTACTGCCTTGTCAGCACAATAAGCATGTGTAAACCTATTTATTTAGCATATAATGTTGTACTTTATCACTGCATTATAAGTATCTACAACTAATATTATAGCCTAAAAATGGTTTATGAATGCTTATTGTGCTTACAAGGCAGTAACTTAGTCTGAAATGTTTAATATAAGTATATGAAATATACAGGTGAACAGATTTGTCTCACTATTTCGCAAGAAACTGGTTAGTTTTGTCTCTGTCGCCCTTAATTAATGTATGATAAGCAGTTATTAATGATTTATAAAGTTTTTATAGAGGAAACATATCTATAAACTATTTTTTAGCCATCTATAAGGGGAGCCTTATTGTAAAGTGGTACCTTAAATCTTTATTTCAAACCATTTCTGGTGAGCTTTGGATGCGAATAAAGCACAAGATTTCAATATATCTCATGTACTTTTGTTTATTTTTACCTCTATTTTTATTGTATTTTATATATGATTTAATATTTTAATTTATTTCTTGTGTCCAGCTTGAATGTAAAGCATTTTGTTCAACCTCAGCTGCTTCAGGAGTCTTATAAAACAATTTAAATGTCTAGTTTTAATATGAGCTATGTACTGACGCTGCTGACTGTGAGTATCTTGTGCTTTCTAACCCCACGACGTCCTCACACAAGTTTAAAGAGATGATGTCCAGAGCTTGTAGGTTTATAGTTCTCACAAGGTATGGGGTGAAACATGTTTAGAGCTGAACTGAATATCAATTTTGTTAATTTACTTTTGCATAAATAATTTATTCTTTTTGGTTTATTATTTATTTTGAAGACATTTAATTTGTATATTTCTTTATTGTCATTGCTTGTGTGACGTTGTGTGTATGTGTAAAAGTTACTGGGATCAATGTTAATATTAAAGAAAATGAATTATTAGTACTTTAAGGAGGAAAGCGTATTCATGCTCTTTTCAGACAAGAGTAAATTATTAATAATGATTTGTTGTGTAGTCATTTAATTCTCCTATGATTAGTATTTGTGGAAGTTTCATGCTTTCCTTGTCTTGTTTTCATGTTCTGTTTGTCCAAAGTCCTTCCATCTTTTTTAAACTCACTTTTCTTTCTGTATCACGAGGAGCTGGTGCCCACCTCCAGCAGTCACTGTGCAAGAGGTGGGACGGGTGAAAAGTCCATCACAAGAACAACCATCCTTGCTCCAAAAACAAATATTATTTCATCTATTCAAAGAATCGCACTTTGGAAATATAATGGAGGTATTCACGCTATTTTTACAACTTGAATATATCCATAAAATTCCCAGTAGGAGAAAAAAACATGGCAAAATGGCAAAATAAAATAAAAATAAAAATAACAAATCAGATCCCAAAACAACCAGTGAGAGAAACAATACAAGGAGGAATGACTGCAAGTAGATCAGTCAGAGACAACATGATGTCAAACAAAGACAGAGTGGCTGCACAGAAATGTAAACCGTCAAAAAGTTAACTCCAAAAGATTCAAAATGAAAATCACACACAAAACAATAAAAACATGACAAGAAATAAAGATGAGAAAGAATCTCTCTCTTAGAGGTAAGGGGAGGACTTCATTTATACAGGAGAGACTCGGAGTTGAACTGCTTCTCCTCCACATGGAGAGGAGTCAGTTGAGGGGGCTCGGTGTGCCTCCATGAGGAGGTGCTCTTGTATGTCTGACTGGGAAAGACCCAGGACACACTGGAGAGACGGTCTCTCTGTTGGCCTGGGAACACCCTGGAGTCCTCCCAGAAGAGCTGGAAGAGGTGGCTGTGGAAAGAGATGTCTGGACCTCCCTGCTCAAGCTGCTGCCCCCGAGATCTGACTCCGGTATGAATGGATGAAAAGAAAAAGTGGGGCCTGTCTGTTTATGTAAAGGAGCATTTCCATCCATACATCCATTATCTTTTAATGGCTTTTTCCATTTCGGGTTGTGGGGCTCGCAGCTGCCCGTGTCCAGCCATCACTGTGCGAGAGGTGGGGACACTCTGGACAGGTATCCATACCATCACAGGGACACATTGAGACAAACGAGACAACCATTCACTCCCTCACTCACACCTAGAGACAATTTAGAGCTACCAATCAGCCTAACATGCATGTTTTTGGTCTGTGGGAGGGAACTGGAGTACCAAGAGAAAACCAACACATGCACAGAGAGAACATGCAATCTCCACCCAGAAAGGCCCCCGGACTGGGATTTGAACCGTGAACCTGCTCGCTGAGAGGCAGCAGCTCTGCCAACTGAGCCACCGTGCTGCACAAGATGCTCTAAGTCTCATTTACAAGATACTATCTCAAAATTATGACTTACCATCATATTTACTGTATATGTGACATTATTTTACATCATGGCTTAACATCCCTGAATTATGACTTAGTACTGTATCTCATAATTATAACCCAGTTTCTCATAAAGATGGGATACTGAGATTGGGGTAGAGGTAGGACAGCCGGAAGCCAGAAAGTTGTGGGTCAACTCCAGCCATTCCCACATGTCATGGTGTTTCTGAGCAAGACATCAAATCCCCAATTGCTCCCTGGGCACTTACATAGCTGCCCACTGCTCCACCTGGGTATATCTCACCTGTGATGGGTTAAACATACAATGATGATAATCTTAAAATTCCCTTCCCATACTGTCTCAAAACCTCTGTTTAAGAGGGGAGAAAACAGAAAACTACTAATATCCATCCATCCATCCATTATCTTTACCCGCTTATTCCATTTTGGGTCACGGAGGTCGCTGGTGCCCATGTCCAGCAATCACTGTGCGAGGGGCGGGGTACACCCTGGACAGGTCGCAAGTCCATCACAGGGACACATAGAGACAAACAACCATTCACTCTCTCACTCAAGGTAAAGACGACTTGCTCTTTCTGCAGTACCCCTCCACCACCAGCTGGTGTCGCTGCTTGCTGCAGTA